TCACTTGCTGCAAATCTTGGTTGGCCCTTGCAACAATTAGATATAAAGAATGCTTTCTTGAATGGTGATCTACATGAAGAAATTTATATGGATCCACCACCTGGTTTTGAAAAAGGAGACGATTCAGTATGCAAGTTGAAAAAGTCTCTCTATGGTCTTAAACAATCTCCTAGAGAGTGGTTTGAGAAGTTTACTCAAGCTGTTAAGGGAAGAGGATTCCTCCAAGCTCAGACTGATCACACTTTATTTTTAAAACACTCTAATGGTGGTAAAATTGCTATTCTCATTGTTTATGTTGATGACATAATTGTCACAGGTAATGATTGTGAGGAGATAAACTCTTTGAAGAAATGTTTAGCTAATCAGTTTGAACTGAAGGATATTGGATCTCTCAAATATTTCCTAGGTATGGAAGTTGCTCGAAGTAAGGCAGGAATTTCTTTAACTCAGAAGAAATATATTCTAGACCTGTTACAAGAAACAGGAATGCTTGGGTGCAAGCCAGCAGAGACTCCAGTTGAACCCAATATTAAATTGGGAATCGAAGATGGGAAAGAAGTTGACAAAGAGCAGTATCAGAGATTGGTGGGGAAGTTGATCTACTTATCTCACACTCGGCCTGATATTGCATTTGCAGTTAGCATGGTTAGTCAATTCATGCATTCTCCTAAGGAAAAACACCTGAGTGCAGTTTATAGAATTCTGAAGTACCTCAAAAACACCCATGGTCGAGGATTGTTCTTTAAAAGGGGACACAAGAGGATGATTGAAATATATACAGATGCAGATTGGGTTGGCTCTGCATTGGACCGAAGATCCACTTCAGGATATTGCACCTATATTTGGGGAAATCTTGTGACTTGGAGAAGTAAGAAACAAACAGTTGTTGCCCGGAGCAGTGCAGAAGCAAAATTTCGGGCTCTAGCCCATGGTATTTGTGAAGGGATTTGGTTAAGAAGACTCCTTGATGAATTGAAGATCTCTTTTTCCCCACCTGTCAGAGTGTATTGTGATAATAAGGTTGCTGTCAGTATTGCTCAAAATCCAGTTCACCATGACAGAACAAAACATGTGGAGGTTGATCACCACTTTATCAAAGAAAAAATAGATGATGGAAGTGTATGTATGATGTATATTCCTACCAAAGAGCAGATTGCAGATATTCTCACTAAGGGCCTACACCGGCCAGCCTTTGAAGACTTGATTGGCAAGTTGGGAATGATCAACATTTACCTCCCAACTTGAGGGGGAGTGTAGAAAATCAGAATTCAAATTCAAATATTTTTCCGTTTTTATTTATTAGGAATAATTAAGATTAATTAGGATTGATTGTTTTTTATTTCCTATTAGTTAGGATTAATTGTAATTAATTAGAATAATTGTGATTAGGTTCAGTGAGTCATAGCTGAGTCATTCTTATGATTGTGATTAGGTTTGGTGAGTCATAGCTTAGTCATGCTTAGCTATTTTTTCTTGTATAAATACTCCTCATTTCTCATGTAATTATTTCAATATCGAGATACTGAAAACCTTTTTCAATACTAGCAAATGAAGCCCCCTACGTTTATTTTTGGAAAGTTAAATCTGTTGTTATTCCTATGTTCCAGATGGTCCATTTTTAATCATTTTCTTGTGCAATCCCCCTTCTCTTTCTTTTCCTTGTCTTTTATCTTATTTCTCCCTTCCCCAATTTTTATTTTTATTTTTATTTATTTATTGTTATTTTTTTTTAATCTCCTCTTATTTATTATTGGGTTCATCTACCATCAACCCCAATTAACTTGGGTTAAAGATGTTGTTGATGTTGATGTTGTTGATGTTGATTTAGTATTATGATGAGAATCATATGGGGCACCCTTAACTACTAAAGGAAAATTATCATTTCAGTCCACGAAAACATACATGCTTTGTCAATTTAATTTTTCCTAGTCTAATGTTATCAGTTAATTGTATGTAATAACTATTTTTAACTCCTGAGCTGCTGTCTATCAGAAAATATGATTCTTAGGTACATTGCTCTTGAAACGTAATGTTGTTTAAAGTGCAGATGAATGCAGAAAAAACGCCAGCAGACAAAAATAATCAGCTTCTCACCTATTCGAATAACATGTGACTACTGGACTGCTCCCATTACTTTTCAATCAGCTCCTTAACTACTCTTCCCTTCCTCTACTCCTAACACAAGCCACCCATCCAACAGAAGTTTGATATATATAGTCTCACATTGGTTGTATGTGCAACTAATGTGGAGTTTATAAGGCCTTAGGCACTCCCACCCTTTGAGCTAGCTTTTGGGGTGTTGTATCCAAAGGTTCTTTACATGGTATCAGAGTCTCGTCGCCCACCACTTTCTTTTGTAGCGTTTCTTAGCACATGTAGGCTGGGTTTGTTGCAACTAATGTGGAGTTTATAAGGCCTTAAACACTCCCACCCTTTGAGCTAGCTTTTGGGGTGGTGTATCCCAAGGTTCTTTACATGGTATCAGAGCCTCGCCGCCCCTCACTTTCTCTTGTGGCATTTCTTAGCACAGGTAGGCTGAGTCTATTGCATTGTTGTTGGGTAGTAATTTTCGAAAGAAAGAGTTATCGTTCTCAGGGAACGGTTTGTTTAGTTTTCCTTTTTTAATTCCTATTTCTAATTTCTTGAAATTAAGTAATCAATCTTTTAAAACTAAGAAAAGACTAAATGAAACAAGGTATTTATCAGATTTGTATTAAACAGAATTAACAGAGGAATATCTAATCACAAATGTAACAATTATAAGGTTCTAGAATTCTTGAATCATGGATGAAGGAAAAATTTCGCATTCCTGCGTTTTATAACTGCTACGGCATTTTAAGATCAGAATTTGAACTACTATGGCTATTTTAGCTGAAACTTCCCAGTTCCAAATTTTAATCTTTAGAAGGATCTTTTCCCAAAGTCTTCTAAATCTTTAAAAATTGTATCAAAGACCTCCTTGGGTTATCCCTAACCTCAAGGGTTCAATTAACAAGAGACATAACCTGATTTCTCAATCATAGTTATGCAAAAATATTCAAGATCCATTCCCATGGTGTTCTTGAACTTAACATCAAAATCTTGCTAATCAAATGAAACTAAACAAGCCATCACAGTATTCAGAAAAATAAAAAATCACCCAATCATCGTGAATCCCAGAAAGGAAAAGATTAGAAACCCATATTCAAAAATATTGCAAATCTAAAAGTAAAGAAACATGCATTACAATCATTCATTAAAGAAAACTCAAGTCAAGTTACAAATCGGTTCTTCAAGAGTCAAAGTTCCTAAACTAGAGCTAGGAAGAAAACGTGCAGAAATGTGAAAACAGTAGCTCGTATGCAGATCCGTGATTCCTTTCCTTGAAGGTGCGTTGTCAATGCACTTCGAGTACAAGAATTGAAGAATTAGCATCCAGCTTTCAAGGAATTTCTCAACACTCAGATTCGAAGAACGAAATTACAAAGATTCAAAACTAAAAACTGAAACTAAAAGAACGGTGTCTGACCCTAATGACTCAGACTCCTATTTAACTAAAAACGAAAAAGCTGTCTCAAAATGCATTGTTGTCCATCCATCTCTTTGTTCATCCAATGGTTCAGATTTGATCTTGCTTTCAAAGAGTTGATCTTGCTTTCAAACTGCAGTAAAAATAATAAAAGAGAATAGTAAATCATCAAATTATCTCTTTCTCTCTTTTTTTTACCTTTGGGCTGATTGGCACTCATTTGGCCCATTACCAAGCACTAATATTCAGCCTTCAACTCAAATATTATAAAAACTAAGCCATTAAAAATAGTCATAATTTATAGCTAACAATTGTCCACTCTTCAAGCTCAATGGACTCTTGTGTGAGGGGGCGTGTTAAGATATATAGTCTCACATTGGTTGCTCTTGTGTGAGGGGGCGTGTTAAGATATATAGTCTCACATTGGTTGTATGTGCAACTAATGTGAAGTTTATAAAACGTTGAACACTCTCACCCCTTTGAGCTAGCTTTTGGGGTGGTATATAAAACTCTAATAACGGTAGAAGTACCAGAACTTATATGCTGTAATGTTTTCGATATACTAACATATCAATTTCCAAGGCAGAAGAAACATCACTGTTGATTGCCCCCCTTGTCTCCCAAGATCAGTAAATACACTGTCACCACAACACCTCGTGCTTTCCACTTTCCATTACTTAGTCACTTAAATGATAATCTATTGCAATTTGAACAAACATAGTGCACATGTCCCCCAATAACATTTTTGTGCTAGCCTAGATTCCAGGCCCATGAAGGAAACTTTTGGCTACAACTCACAACATGGTTTGCGCTAGCCCGGATTATTTAAATCCATCCCTCTCTTATATATACTTTGAAGAAAGACATAAACTGCAAAATTAATTCAAATAGAAAACAACTTCAATTATACACATTGACTTATGGAAAAAGTGTGTATTATTTTGAATGACACAAAATTGTGTCATTTTAAATAACAGAAAGAGATAAATGATGTGAGAGAGAATGGGTGAGAAAATTTTTAAATGTGTGAGCCTCACCTACCTTTTTGTGAAAGTAAAAGGATATAAAGTATGTCATTTAAAATGACACATCTTTTTCCCTTGAATTAAATATGATTGAGAATATGGCATTGTTGATTCATTAAAAGGGTAAGGAGGGGAGCATATACCAGCAATGTCCTGTGTCCTATGTTTGTGTACTACCACGAATTTCTAAAACATCAACGTAGCCCATCTTACCGCCAAGGGATTAATTAAATCACTATAGTTACACAATTGTTGGCCTAAAATGTTAGACAGCAATCGGAAAGATAGGGAGACCCACATTGTCATCACATGCAAATATAATACCCAAATATTTGGGTTGCACACTTATAATTCCAAGTTTAGGTTCTCCTTTACCATGTTCCCCATAAATAGATTGAAGGCAAACTAATTGCTGATCAAGCATCTTTGTGTTTGGTGCACCTTTCTAGGTTAACAAAAAAGAAAAGATGGAAGCCATTTCTCTCTTTCCAAGCACTCATCAACCAATAAGGTCCATTAGCTTGCCCACTAGAGTGCACCCCTCTTCTCTAAGAATTGAAGCACTGTTGAACCATCTTAAACTTCATTACCCCCGGTCTGTTTCCAGCACCGTTTGTTTAGAAGCAGAGAATATTCAAAGTGATTCGGTTGTGCTTGCAGAGTTGTACAATTGCATGGAGGAACTCTTCCATTCTCCACAGACCCAACAAGCTCTTTTGCACTACCAGAATGGGAATCTAGTGGAAGAGGCACTATGTGGCTCAGTCACATTGCTAGATGCATGTGGGACCGCAAGGGATTTATTGTTTGCTTTCAAGGAACATGTGCAAACATTTAAGTCAGCCATACGTAGAAGAAGAGGAGATTCAAGCATTGAAAGTAGCATTTCTGAATATGATAGCTTTAGGAAGAAGGCCAAGAAGGAAATCTGCAAGCTACTTGTGGCATTGAAGCGAATGGAGAACAAAGTTAATGGTTTTTCTGTCATGGGTCAAGATCAGTATATAATATTCTTGGCTAGAGTTCTAAGAGAAGCAAGCACCATCACCATCTCTATATTTCGTTCTGTTTTGCTATTCCTGTCCATATCACGACTCAGAACAAAAGGGTCCTCCTTGATCTCAAAGCTAAAGCACACGAGATTATTTTCTTCAGAGAAAGAACAAAAGAACAATAATGTTGTAGACCTCCATGTTGTGTACTCCCTCCTTGGAAGAGGAAAATACGATGATGTCAAGCCTGAAGTTCAAGATGCACTAAGAGTGTTAGAGACACTAAATACTAGTATTGATGGTCTAGAGGGTAGCTTGGATTGCATTTCCAGACGTTTAGTCCAAAATAGAGTGTCACTTCTTAATATTCTTGCTCATTACCAAAATTATGAGTGAAGCATCAATCATTCCCTTGTAAATGTGAATGAGAGTGATCATGTAGTCCGCATTTTAAAGGATTTGCTCTCCACAAATCAATACATGTTTGAATGAGAGTATCGACATGATTCAGAATTACATTATGTCTTCTCAAATTTTCTAGACTCTAGTTCATTTTTATTTCTTTCTTTTTACATTCTCAATTTCTTTTGGACTTGAAAAGTAAAAGCCCTTCCCTCAACTTATTAACGCACATTTGACGGATACTTAAAGTCTATGTAACTTTAACTCAATATTACTACATTTTAATTTGTTAAAAATAATAAAAAAAACATTTAATTAATAAACTGCTAACAAATAATTTCACTAATTATATAAGTATTTATTAGTTGACTTAATTATTTCTGCTCTTTATTAACAACTTATTTTATTTTTTTTATAAATTTATCTAAAATATTTCGTTTGTTAGAAGGTACAAGTGCCATTAAATGCTTCCATATTAATATCATAGGGAAGTACAAATACTTCTGTAATCATATCAGGTGGGAAGTACAAATGTTCCGTAATAATATCATATGAGAAGTACAAATGCCCCTGCAGTTGGGTTGCTCTCAGTTTACAATTTAATTAGCTCGTTGCCTTTCTTACTGTAGTGAGCTGCTTCAGCGAGAGAGGAGTAGCTCGCTGACTCTCACTCGTTTTATCGAACTGTTCAGCGAGCTGCTGTAGGTTTTTAGTTTTAAATTAAATACCATGTACGCTTAGGGAGCTACTTGGTACATGATATTAAGCATTTATAAATTAATTCCAGAATAATTACATGTTACAATTACATATATGGAATATGTATGTCAAGATCAAAGAAAGCTTTAAAAAAGGAATTTTAAACGAAAATTTTTACTCAGTGATTTTATTGAATTATGTGATTGTAATTGCGCTTATTATTTTAATTGGTGATAATAAATCGATTTTAGAGCGGGGTGTTATAAATTATCTCTATGTAGAAATGCATCTCCATCCTTAATCCTAATTCACTCACATTTAAATCAGTCATAGTAGTTATTAAAGGCAAGTGAAATCATTTTTCAACTTTTCACACTTATCATTTCAGATAATAAGAAGAGTAAAATAAATAGATAATTTTATGATTCTTTTATGTTTTGTTTTTCCAATTTTGAAATTTAACTTCTCTAAGTTTTAAACTTTATTTATTTATAACAAAAGTTTATCATATTAATATATATTTGGTACATTGTTATTTGTAGCAAATAATTATTTTTCTAAATAATTATTTTTATTAATTTATTTTATTATACATATATGTGTGTGTGCGAATAAAACAGTAACATATTTTGTGAATTTTATTTTTTTTACAGTATTTGAGGTTTCATTCATTTTATCTTATTGCTTTTAGTTTTTATTTTTATTTTATTTTTTTTAGCCTACCAAATTGACTCATATTGTTCGAGAAATACTATGTATTTTTTTTATAGAGTTGAGCAGATTCAAAAAACCAACCTGTGTAACTTGCTCGTTTTATGTGAGGAACATCTACAGGGTTCAAATTAAATGGGTAACTGCTTTATCTATTTCAGATTTTTTAATTCTATGCATTTTTTCTTTTTATGCAATGAAAAGTGTGGCCATTATATTCAAAGCCTGAAGTTTACGAAAGCAGCACTTTGGTCGGTAAACATTTCCAACGAAATTAGAAATTGGAAAACAAAAAGAATAACAACAATTTTCCTTAACAAAAGATTTTGAGTTCGAGTAATAAGAATGAAGAAAAGAGTCTTAATATAGACATCCATTTAGGGAAGTATAACTTTTAGGGAAGGCTCTATTTGTACTATGTATCCTCAATTCTCTACGTTGTTTTAATTTGGCTAGCAACCATTTTTTATAGGACTCACGCTTAATGAGGGGAAGGATGATATAATTAATTCATTTTTAATTTTTTCTTTTATTTTAATTAGTTTAAAATATTTAAATAAATTAATGCATTTAAAATTGACTTAAATCATGCTTGAATGTTTTGTGTTGCGTACTCTAAGGCTGGCTTAGAATAATCCGTTAATAACTTAATACATGCGTGCACATGTGTTCCATGTATAAAAACTGTATAAAACTTTATTTATCGTTTGTTAATTTTTTTTTTATAATTTTAATAATTGAAATTGAAACAAATATTTTTCTTTATCAATTTCACTTCTTCTGATTAATCAATTCTCCGTGCATTCAATGTTATAAATATCAACTCACATTTTTAAAATTTTAGTTTTTACAAATCTTTTTTTAAATATTTATTTATCTCAAAATTAAAAGAACAAAATTTGCCAAAATTGAGTGCTATATTTTTGGCAAGCACCAATGGTTATTTTTTTCCTATATAAGATCGATTATCCTTTTAAATTTATTATATTTAGTTTTATATCATTCATTTCATAACATTATTTTAACTTTATTTCTTTATTCCATTCTCTTCCGGATAATGAATCATGTGATTATATATATCTTGAATTCTTGATAAAGCAATAAACTTCTTATTTGTTGTTTGTGAAAATCAACTATTTTATAATTAAGAGTAAACTCCGGATTACCAAAAAAAGAGAGACTAAACTCCTTCTTTTACAAAAAAAAAAAACCGGGCGCGGTAAACTCCTTCAATTCAATATTGATAAGATTTTAAAACATTAGTTTGATTCTTATAAGATTAATGACATTAAATTGATCTTCAAAAGATAATTTTGCAAGAAAAAAATTAAGGGTGCATATTTTCTTATGTTGTAGGATAGTAGGAAAGAAAAAAAGTAGAGATAAGTTAAATGTGGGTCCCACATTTTAAATTAAAAAAGAGAAGAAAAATTAATTGGCACGGAAAACGAATTTGTGTAGGAAAAAGTTCTTATCTCATGTAGATGGAGATAATGATTTCCCAAAAATTAATCACTGCAAACATAATCTTTAAGAACCGTATTGAGATTTCTAAAAATTTACTCAAAACAAAATGAGCTTCACTAGACTTCCAATATTTTTTCAAAAAAAATTAAGTTTAATTTATAACTTATACTACGCTGATATACTGGCTTTATTTATATTTAATAGTTGATTTATTTTTTTACAAATTTTATTTATTGATTTTATACTAGCCATGTAAAAAATATAAGACAACATAGCAGATTAGCAGCTGTGAACTTCCAAATCTTTCTACACCATCCATTAATGGATTATTATTATTATTTCATCATTTATAATTTTTTGCTTCAAAGGTTAATTTTTTTATTGACATATTGCAGATCCTTTTGTCCCAACCTAATTTATTAATGAGTCAAGTGATGACAATTGACAATTTATGATTGTTCTATAATAAAGAAAGATGTCGAATTAACATCAACTCATTTTTTTATTTAAACTTTATAAAAAAAATAATCATCAAATTAATTAAAGAATAAATTTTATAATATTAAAATTCCATATGACCCGTGAAAATTTGTTATCTTTCTCTCTCCGTAAATTTTGATTGAACTTCATTTATTTAATTCAAATGAAAAAAAAATACAAAATTTCCACATCACCAAGTGTTGTGATATTTTATCATAATACATTAATACTATAGTAAAAGTGTTTATCCTTTTAAATAAAGTGTTTATCCTTTTAAATGACACAAGTTATATCATTTCACTCTCACAAAGAGGTGCGATCCACACCTTTATTTTTTTGTCAACTCTCTCTTCTTCTTTATCTATCTCTTTCTCTCTCTTAAAATGACACAACTCTACATCATTCAAAACGACACACATTTTTCCCTAAAACTATTTATTCCTAATTAATTACTATTGACTCAATAATTTAATATTGATTTATAATATAATTAATATGAACATCGAATCACGCTCGTCTTTAGAGGTGGCAAAACGGGTCGGCTCACCCCGTCCCACCGCCAAAAACGGGTTGTCCTGCCCCGCCAAAAACGGGTTGGCCCGCCCCGCCCCGTATTTTGATATGGGTTGAAAATTCCAACCCATCCCGTTTTAAGGTGCGTTAGCGGGTCAACCCGCTTAAAAAATAAAAAATAATTAAAAATTTAAAATATATTATATTTTATTAATTTTATATTATTTATTATTTTCATTTCACAGTCCTTTTGGTTTTTTTTCAATCTCAATCCTAAATGTATAATAATATTCAGTCAAATATTTTGTAGGAACTTATTTTTGCCTCAATATATGGATAATCTTTGTAATAAAAAAAATCTTTATATTTTCTAAGGGAGTACTAAAATAAAAAAAATTTCATATCACAAAAGCTTAGTGACAAATAAAATATTACCAATTAGTAAAAAAAAAAATTTGACCCGCGGCCAACCCTCCCCGACCCACCGCCAACTCGTTTTAACCCACAACTAAGCTGGACGTGTTGAGGTGGGTTGGTGGATTGAAAAGTATAACCCTACCCGCACCGTTTTAACGGATTGACGGATCGAGTTCAATTCAAATTGCCACCTCTACTCGTCCTGAGCATATACTTCATTATTTTCCTAAATAATATATGATTACATATATCACTACTGCAAGAAATAATTTGTATAGCATCATTAAACCGCGGTTTTAGGAAGTTAAACCGCGGTTTTAGGAAGTTGGCCAAAATTTTGAAATTGCTAATTTTGGTACACGGTCGGGCGATAGTAACCCCTATCCCTTAAGGAGGGGGACTCCTTCAATTCAATATTGATAAAATTTTAAAACATTAGTTTGATTCTTATAAGATTAATGACATTAAATTGATCTTCAAAAGATGATTTTGCAAGAAAAAAATTAATCACTGCAAACATAATCTTTAAGAACCGTATTGAGATTTCTAAAAATTTACTCAAAACAAAATGAGCTTCACTAGACTTCCGATATTTTTTCAAAAAAAAAATAAGTTTAATAAAAAATGCTACTCATGTAAATCCGCAGCACTCGTGCCCAACAAAGCAACATAGTCTCTATCAAACAGAATGAAAGATGCAAAATCAG